TTTTCTTCAGAGAAGCTGATCTTTGTTAATGTCTTGATTCTGTTCGCAAAGCACAGACTAGTGCTTAAAAAAAAAAAAAAGGAAGGAAAAATTGAAAAAAATAATAAAAAAAAAAAGTTACAGAATGTTGTGTTGCCGGGCCTTTGTTGACCTCAGACTGGGTTCTCGCAAGGGTGGCAGGTTCAGCCCCCGCCCCGCTGGAGCAGTTCTTTGGGTCCCTGCACTGGCTCTGTCCTTGGGTCCCCGGCAGGAGCACCTGATGGTCACCAGGGAGAGGATGGAGTCGGGGTGGAGGGGCAGTAAGGGGTGCCCGGAGGATGGGGGCCCCTGTGGAGGTCATCTTTTTGTTGGGTGCAAGCGATTGGTCATTACCTCTTGGCGTTCCTTCTTTCGTGAGGCCCGCGGTGTGACATTTCACGACTGTCCTGAGGGACATTTCCACCTGTCCCCGCTTTTGCTGGGGTTGGGGCCTGTGAGAATGTACATACTTCACAGCGTCGTGCTTCTGGGGAGACTCCGGGCTGGATTTTCCTTGTACGAGACGGAGACTCCTTTACACAGCAGTCATTCGGCGACGACCACCAAGTGCCGAGGTAGCATTTCTCTGTGGCCGCCCTGGTGCTGCGTCTGTGGCTGCAGTTAACACCCGCTCCCCTTATGCCTGTGCCCGCGGTGGCTAGAGCCACTAGAGCGAGCACACGGGGAAAGCGGAGGAAACCCGCACTCTGGACTTCTGCACGGAAATGGAAGGGTTCCTTGTTAGGACCTCCACCTAATTGCTAAAGGGCAGGAATTAACATGGCTCCTGCTTGGTATGTGTTTTCTCTGCGGCACTGCGGGGGGCTGCCCGCTATTCCTGTCTCCCCGGAGCGGACCTCTTCCCCCATCGAATAAGGACCCAGAGGAGAGAGGAACGTGGCTCCGAAGCTCCCGACGGAATCTAAGCCTTGGCCGGCCTCGTGCTCTGCTCCAGCCCCGGGCTTCTGGGACCAACTGTGCCTCCCACAGCCCTGGCCCGTGTGAATATGCTGGTGTGGGGCTTCCTCGAGGGCAGCCTGTGAGCTCAACCACAAGGCCGATAGGCCTTTCTTTGCGTTGGACCGGGATGGCTCCCCGGCACCAGAATCAGAATCAAGGTGAAAATGAACCAGTCTTGAGAACTCTTCCCGCACCTTTGGGGCCCCAGAGAGAGCCAGGAAATCCTGACGTCCAGGTTTTGGCAACACTGTCATTTTCCTGTTGGGAGCTAAGTTCTCTTAAGGCTGGAAAAAGGCACACATCATACAACCAGACTCGTTTTCTCATCCTCTGAATCCATGCACGGAGACCTTGTGTAAGCAGTAATAACTTTATTTCCAAATTCACTTTTACAGCAACAATCAGTGTAAATCATTTGTTAGAACACACAATACACCATATGGACGTTCACAGACAGGAAGCTAAGCTAAGATGGTTTCGTGTCCCTCCCCCCACCCTCAAAATTACCGAAGAAATCATGGGACTTGCAAGTGCCAGAAACTGTCCTGCCCAGCGCTGCAAATTCACGGGCCGAGTCCATTCGGAGGGGAGACTCTGGGCCAGCGCCCAGGGTAACCCTGTTCAAAGCTGAAGTGAAACCAGAAGTCTGGAAGCCACAGTTCTGCAGGTGGGACAAGCTGGCCGCCTCCACCTCCACCCTCCTCCCCATCCGTTGGCTTGACTTGGGGACAAAGATAAAAGAGGGAGAAGGAAGAAGGACGAGCTCTTGGCAGCTGCCACGACGGGCTGCGTGTCCGGAGCAGGTGAGAAAGGGGCTCCGAGGCGCCCGTGGCTTAGATGGAAGGAAGGATGCCGGGGTCTGCGGTAGGCGGGGCTGTGGGCCTGGGGACCCCGTGAGAGGGCAGCTCTGTCCCCACACTCCTTCCCCAAGCCTTGCTGCCTGCACCTGGCAGGGAAGGAGAAGCTGGCGGGACCCCAGGGACCTCGAGCCAGCGTGGGCGATGTGAAGAAAAGGGTTACGGGTGGTCTGGCGCTGCCCTCCAAGGCTTCCCTCTGCCCGCACAACTATCTTGCAGGTTCCTCCCCCCTCCCCCCACGAGCACAGCAAGCAACCGCACAGGATACAGTCTCCGCGCTGAAGTCCATTTAAATAGAACTACGGATAAGTGAGTGGAGAGCTTGAAGGGACCAGGCGCCCGGCACAGCGCCCCCCGGGGGACGCTGACGGGAGGTGGGGGGGATCGGGGGTGGTGGAGAGTGCCCAGCCCTGGTGGTGGCGGGGTTGGGGGGGAGGTGGGGGGGGAGGGGATTGTCCTCATTGAAGGTCACAAGCCAGCTTCCCTCTGCAATCTCCCTGTCGGCGCTGACTCGATCACCTGATCACCTTGAACCGTGAGGTCTAGGCCGACCCCGGCAGCCCCCCACCCCCACCCCCGCCCAGGGCGACCCCGGAGGCGTCCGAGCAAGGCTCTCAGAATAAGGTTTGGGAGAGCAGGGCACAGAAAGAGTTGCAGCTGTTGTCCGGGGCCGCATCTCTTAAGAGCCAGCGCCTCTGAACCACATCTCCCTTCTCTTCCTCAGAACCCTTCTAAGAACAGCTGGGGCCCAAAGAAGTAGAGCCTCACAGCGGTTAGTTCTGGGCCCAGATGATTCGATTTCTTGCACGGAAAGCTCTGGCTGCAAGAGAAGCCGCCAGCCCTGGAGAGGAGGCCCCGGGCGCCCACAGCCCCCAGGGGTGAAGACAGGGCCTGGGCAAGGGCGGAGGGGGGGCGGGGGAGGCTCCCACCAAGCCCCTGGGAACGGTGTCTCCGGACTTGTCACCCTGCCGCAGTCAGGCAGCGCGGGCTCCGGGGGGCTCCTCTGGGGCGGACAGTCTACCCAAGCCCTGCTGTGGCTGTAGGGCCCTTGGCGGGGAGGCCTGGGCGGCTCTTGCTGAGGGACGGCTTGCAGGGGGAACCCCAGGCCTCTCCCCGGCTGTACGGGTTTCCTTTTTCTTGTGACACTGGGCGTCGGAAGACCCTCATGGCTGCTGGGGGCTTCTGGCTGTGACCAGAGAGGGCGATCTTCTCGCTGCAAACCAGGCCGGCCACAAGACCCGCCTCTCTCCGCCCCAGCAAAGGGCAGTCCCAGCGGGGGCCGCAAGGGGGCGCCGTAGTTTCTGTCCCAGGATTCTGCCCCAGTCCTGTGCTCTGGGCCTTCCTCCGAGCTGAGGAGTCTCCGGTTTCAGAATCGGGTCTCTGCTGGGTCCCAGATGCCGCCAAAGCCTTGCAAGTCAGGAGGCTGTGACCAAGTAGAGCCACAGCAGCCCCCCGTGCGGGAGGGAGACATCTAGGACCCCCAAGGGGTGGGTTAGAAACCTCTTCACAAGCATTTCAAGATACATGCGTCCTTTTTTTTTTTTTTTTTTTAACCTTGTCATTATCAAAGTCACTCTGGTGAATCCAAGCATAAACAGACAAATCCGACTACAACTCGACAGGGCGCAGACGGGGAGGGAAAGGCGACGTCTATGTATATGTTCAGCTGCTCCAGCAGGACAGGACAGACAGCACTGCCTCCAGCCGGGAGGGGGAGGGGTGCGGTGGGGGGGTACCATTTCCAAGGGGGTGTGCGGGGCTGAGCGCTGGCGGGCGGGGCTCTCAGAGAGGCTGGCACTCACAAGCTCGGGTGGAATGGGGCACGGAGGGAGTGTGGCCCTGCCCCGGGGGCCTTGCCTGCCTGACCTGCTGCCGCCCCTGGAACCAGGATGGCCACGCTGCTGGCAGCTCAACTCAGGGAGGGGCCCAGGCCTTCTGGGAGGAAAAGGCTCTCCAAGTATAAACAAGGCAAAACATCCCGGGTCATTGCTGAGCCCACCCTGGCTGGTGCCTGTGAGGACAGGTCAGGGGGAAGGAACCAAGTACGGTCATCGGGTCCGTTGTGAGGGGCCACACCGGTTGGGTGAGTTCTAACTTCAACCAAGGGACCGAGGTCTCCCCTTGTCCCCAGGTTTTGCCTTCGCTCAGACACCCCTTTATTTGAGAGCAGGCGCCCCTGGGTCTAAACAATGTCCATTGCTGAGAAGGGGCGCGGTGAGGCCGGGAACTCGGGACAGTGTGACATCATGAGGGGGACAGGCAGTGACTGGGCTCCGCAGAGCAGACACATGGGCATGGTGGGGGGTGGGGGACAGGTGGCTGCAGTGGCCATGGGAGGGACAGGAGGCTCAGGACCCACCTCCCAGCCCCCAGCACGCTCCCGGGATGCCAGGGGCCCGGGCTGGGGAGCAGGCGGATGCCCCCAAGAGGCACGAGCCCTTACGAAGAGAACTGGTTTAGCCCTAAAGTCCCAGAGCCACGAGGTGGCCAAAATCGTGGCTGCAGTTCCAACCTTCAGATCTCAGTAAAACAGGGTTTCCGTGGGGCCCCCGCCCTGCAGGGAGGGGGAAAGAGGCCAGCACTCGGGACATCAAGGTCAGTCAGTCTTCCCCGAGGAAGGGATCCACAGGGCGCCCCCCTCCCGCCAACTGACCACCTCCTCCCGCCCACCGGAGCCTCTCTCCCACGGGCCGGGAGGGCGGCACACCAGCCCCGCGGCGGACCCGGGCCACCGAGCACAGGGAGGCCACTCGGGCCAGGCGTGCTGTGGGCGGCCAAGGCGGTGTGCCCTTCCTGCTGCCCTTCCGGGCAGAGAGCAGCGGCTCCTCCCCACCCGTCACCCACTCCCAACACTGTCCCTGCTGCCCTCCCCCCCCACCCCTGCCTCAGCCTCTCCCGGGGCTCACCCCCCCACCCCAACCCCACCACAAGGTTGACATTGGCCTGCGGCTCCAGCACGGCACCCGGTTTTCAAATCCTTTGCTGCTGCCGCTGCCTCTGTGACCCCCCCCCCGGGATGGGGCAAGAGCATGGGCGCCCCCAGTCCCTTGAGATTCCCCAGAAGCAGCTCGCAGAGCCTCTCCTCCCTCTTCTACTCAGAGGGGACACAAAAAAAAAAAGAATCAAAAGTAATTGCCCAAGGAAATGGTGGGTGTGGCCATCTTCTTAAATGTTTTTAAAAATATTTTATTACCATCAGCCCACCCATCAATTTGGAAAGCTGAAATTTGCTCTTTTTCCCATCACTGATTTTGAAGTCCCGAGCCGGAGCCGAGCGACAAAAGCAGGTTAAAGTGATGAACCGATTAACCGATTAACCGATCTGCGAGGAGCAGCTGGGGGAGGGCAGAGGGCGAAGGGCCAGATCATTATTCTTTTTTTTCCCACACTCTCTCTCTTCTCTCCACGATTATGGACCGCCCCCGGGGCCTGATCACAAACCCTGCTTGGCCAGGGAGGCGGACACTTCGTCGGCCAGCGTGGCGAGCTGGGGCGAGTCCACCATGTCGATGCTGCCCGTGGAGGACACGTTGCTGAGGTGCCGCGGAGATGTGTCCCCGGACACCACGGGCGACTTGTACACGATCTCCGCCCCGTGGTCTGTCTTGGCTTTGGCGTTCTCGCGGAAGGTCAGCTTGTGGGTTTCGATCTGCAAGAGAGGAGCCGGTGGGGGGGTGGGGGTGAATTAAGCCATAAGAAGGGGGAGGAAGCCCCGGCTGCCTACCAGGGGCCGCGGTGACCAGAGTCTGATCACCTTCCCGGAGTGGACACCGGTGCACGGCTCCTCCGGTGCCTGCCTGCCAGCCACCCCGCATCCCTTCTCCAGACATGGTGACCGTCACTCACTCATTTCTCGCGTACCCTTTCCCACACATGCACAAGCATGTGTGATATATAAACAATATGTATGTATATTTAATACACATAGTTATGACATCCACGTGTTTCACTTTGGGTCTTGGAGTTAATACCTTCCGTTATCAGTACTTGGTTCCCTGATGCTCGTTGATGGCTGTGTGGTACTGCATCACCGCACCCTGACACGTATCTATCCCCCTACCGAGGGAAATGCAGGTTATTCTAGTATGTGCCGTGCAGACGATGCCGTGTATGAACATAACCTTGTGTGCACGTCATTTCACACTCAGGTCAATGTACCCTAGGAGCAGAATGGCTGGTAGGTCAAAAGATGTGTGCATTTTCTCTTAATAGATATCAAACTGCACAAGAACCTGGGTGGCTCAGCCGTTAAGCATCTGACTTCAGCTCAGGTCACGATCTCACAGTTCGTGAGTTCAAGTCACACATTAGGTGAGCTCGAGCCCCGCATCGGGTAAAACATGAGCCCCGGGTGAGCCCCGCTTCTGTCTCTCTCTCTCTGCCCCTCGCTCACTTGCGCCCTCCTCTCTCTCTCTCTCTCTCTCTAAAAATAAATATTACCAAACTGCAAATTAAAGCATGAAGGAGAAGCTGCAGATGATTAAGGGACATTCCCCAGGGTCACTGCTGTCCAGCCATGAACCACACACACTCCTCCCCTGCACCACTGACTGACGGGGTTTGGAGGCAGCAGCATGTTTGAGCCACCCCGGAAGCTGTGCTAGAAGTGATGATACAATAAAGTCCTTTTTCAAGGAGAGACACGATGACGTGGCCAGGAGTCCAGAGGTCTTAACTCCAGGACACCCAGGACACGCAGGAAGCACATGTTAGAGACGTGAGCAGTTCGTGAGAACTCCTGAGGAGCCCTGAAGTGGTGGACACAGGAATCCTCTACTTCCTTGGGTCCTAAGACCTCTGTGTGCCCGGTGGAGCCAGGAAGGTATCTACACACGCAGGCACGCTCTCCCCACCCACAAGTGTTCTGCACAAATCCAGGGGTCCGTGGACCCCAGGCTGAAGGGCCTCTGTTGTGGGTGGCTTGGATGTGGGTGTAAATGACTCGACGCTTATTTTGTCCATTTTGGTTCACTGCTTTGGGGGAAAAAAAAACAAAAAACTCTTCCAGATGACTGTATTTGAAAGATCGTTGTGAAATAAGCTTTGAGAAGAACATTAATGTTAGTGTTTTGCAAAAGCTCTGTTCTCAAAAGTGACAGCGTCCTGGGAATGCCCCAAATCTCCCAAACTGAAGGGCGCTCTGGCGGCAGGGGTCCTGCGCTCCCCCCCCTTGTTAGCAGTTCTGCCCAGCACAGGGGGTGTGGGGGGGCTAGCTAGGCGGAGACACTCTGGGGTCAGGACAGTGTCTTCTGAGCCGTGGCAGGCCCACCCTTTCTCAGCCAGCACAGAGGTGAGTTCAAACAGATGTTCACACTCAACCTTGACTCTAACTCATGTTCTTAGCCGGTTACAAAGTACCAGGAACCTTCCAGAACACCATCTTTTTTGGGCTTCACCACCACCCCGGGATGTGGATTTTTCTTTCCCATTTTGCTGAAGGAGAAATGAGCTGAGCGCGCTTGCCCGTCCTCCCCAGCTCACACCTCCAAGCAGAGTCAAGCCCAGAGCTTCGCTCAGGACATAGAAGCTTCTAGAGTCGGTGACCTTCCTTCACCTAGGGAATCACCAATGCCCAGGCCTTAAGCCAGGGAGGCATGAGGTGACAGAAGCCAGCAGAGCCACTGTGCTTTTGCAGAGAACCTTCTCCACAACCCCAGAGAACTGGGCCCTGCCTCACTTCCCTTGAGGCACATGGCCTCCCGGACCCCTCTTTTACTAGGGACCAGGCACCTACACAGTATTTCTGGACCTGGGAAGCCCTGTCTGTGGAACCAAGTCCACACTGGTGTTGGGGGGCCGACAGGAGGCGCTGTGGGGAGCCAAAGAGCGCAAGGCCCTCCAAGGGCACAAGTACCCGGCCTGCGCACCCCAGCCTCCGGGGAGCTCGTCTGTGGTCAGGTTTGTCCAAGGTCTCAGTCTGCACCTCCGACTGAGTAGGAGCATCCCAGCAGGTGCGTCTCCAGAACCGCCCCCTTGGGCTCTGGCCTCAAACACAGCACGGGGCATGCGCATTCAGCATGAGAGGTGAGGTGGTGCCCGCTGCCAGCCGAGTGTGGGGGTGAGTTGTGGTGACTTGCCCCAGGGGACTCCCGGCTGCCACCAAGTGTGTGGCGTGACGACCGCCACTTCCAACCAGCTGGGCCACTTTGGCCAGTGCCCTTCCTCATGTCGGGTTGGGTCTCAGAGTCTGTGCCCATTCGGGGACACCCCTTTCTCCTTCCACTACCCCTCTGCCAGCTGCTGGGAGGCACTGCAAACTGGAAAATGAGCCACTTCCGGAAGTTCGCAGCCAGCTGGAGAGGGTGGGAACCCCCTCCCACACCCCACCCCCAGGCTGCTTTGGCTGCATTTTTGCAGAAAAGCACAGCCCGGAGACCACATCCTGTGATGCACCGGGAGGGGGCCTGCTCAGGGCCACACACACCCTGGGTTCCCCTCCCCCATGCTCCCACAGCAAGACCCAGGGATTCCAGAAACTGCCCGGATCGCCGGATCGCCGAGGCCCTTGATCCAGCAGCCTTCCCCACTGGCACGTTTTCGTGACGCGCAGGCAGAGGCTCTGCAGGAATCTCAGCACCGCTCTTTTGCTCTGCCTAGTGACCCACTTGCAAAATTAGGTTACGCTCCCCCGACTGGTTCCGGTGCGCTGGGGCTGGCTGGCTCTGGGGATGGATGGCTACTTCCTTTCGTGGATGCTTGCCAACCACAGGGCCGACTACCATCATGGAGGACACCGGCTGTCACCTTTCCCAGCACGCAAGCATCACCTGGGAGGCTTTGAAAACTCCCAGTGCCCAGGCTGCACCCAAGACCAATCAGAATCTCCAGGCGAGGCCCGGACATCGAATCCGTCAGGCTCCCATGTGATGGCAACGGCCCTCGAAGGTGGAGACTCACCTGCTGAGTCCTGATGGTTGCTGAGAATCCACATGATATGGAACAGTTCAGGGCCTCAGCTTTCCTTCTCCGGAAAACTGGACCAGATTCGTGCGCCCCACTCCGTTACCAGCCACGGCTCAATGCAACCTCCTCCTGCCCCGCCCCCTTTTACCTTCTTATTCCCTCCACCGGGGACGTGGGTGATGTTATCCAGGGACCCGATCTTCGATTGGACTCTATCCTTGAAGTCCAGCTTCTCAGATTTTACCTCCACCTGGCCGCCTCCTGGAACACAACACACATGAGGACACCACGCCTTGAAAGAGGGCCAAGCAAGCCGTTCGAAGTGGACCCCAACCCTTCAGAGTAGGTAAGACTGTCCTTCATTTAGAAGGGAGTCTGGGCACAGGTCAGAGCCCTTCCAAAGGGCTTGGTGACACTTTGCTCCATCTCTCTAATTGAGGTGTGTGTCAAATATTTGCTCAACAAACTCTTCCTCCTTAGTCCGTGCAAAGGCCAACGACAACTCAAGGGAGAAGAAAAGATTCCGAAGTCTAAACTGGTCAGCTTCCAAAGAGTGAAGTCTTTCTTGGTCAACATCGTGTAAGCCACAGCCCCACAAGACCTCAGAATGAAACTAAATGGCCACATGCACTCTAGCTAAGGAAGGGGCCCTCCCCCGCCCCCTCCTCGGTCACTAGGTGCCGCACCCATGCACCCATGCACGCACGGGAGATACAGCCTGAGGGAGAGACAGCCAACATTCCTTTCTGGAGATGGATAAAGCCACCCAAGAACGGCTGAGGGATGGGGTTCCCACTGGGAGAGACCCCCACAACACGTCCAAGGGAGGCCAGTGGGGACTACGTTTCTGATGGCTTCTCTCCTCACAGGAATGCTTCAGCGAGTATAGATTCTGCTCTGAACCGGGCCCACGGCCGAGGTCCCCACTCGGGACCCCCAGGCAGGAGTGAGAATCTAGATCTACGCTGGACAATACGGAAGCCACCAGCCACATGTGGCTACTTAAATTTTAATTAAATAGAATTAGCTCATTTCGGCAACTGCCGTGGCCTGGCCACGTTGCCAGGGCTCAGTAGCCACGTGAGGTGGGTGGCCTCCATACTGGACAGAGCAGCTCTGGAGCAGTTCCGTCATCACAGAGAGGTCTCCAGGTAGCTCTCATTTTGACGTGCTGCGGGAAGGGGAGGAGAAAGGGAAGCGTGGCAGAGCTCCAACAGCATTTACAGTCGTGGCCGGAGCTTGGCGATGGCTGGTGCAGTTGGTGACGTGTCCCCCGCCCCCCCAATGTTGGCTGGGCACTGAGCTGAAACATCCACGAGCCAGCCTTCCTGCGGGAGCCAGATCAGGCCCCTCCCCGGCTCTAGAGGCCCTGGGTGCAGCCCGCAGGGAGAACCACGGGTTAGGGCTTAGGACCTGCCTCCCTCGTAACTGTGGTTTGGCCAGCACGGCGCCCCGCTCGGGAGCGAGACAGGGCAGCCACCCCTCCCAGGGCTCAGCAAGTCCCACCTGCTCTCCTTGCCAGCCCAGCCCATCAACCCTCGCAGCCACTTTCAGAGAAGGCACCACCGGGTCCCGCCCTGCACCTCCCCTGGGCCTTCCCTCCTGCAAGGGCTACCTGGCTTGTGATGGATGTTGCCTAAGGAGCCACACTTGGAGGTCACCTTGCTCAGGTCCACTGGTTTGTACACTATTTGCACCTGGAGGTGGGAGAGGCCGAGGGAGAGACAAAGAATAAAAGAGGAGGATTTAATTATGCATTTAATAAAAGCAGCTGTGTAAGTCCAGGCCCCCTTGAATGGCGTTTCCTGTCCGCCGGGAGGAAGGCACCGTGGTCATGGTGGGAATACGTGTCGTGGACTTCTGTCAACCCTGCCCCGGGGAAGGTGGGTCTTCACAGAATGACTGTGGGACTGGAGTGCCCTCAGTCCCTCGCAGGGGGGTTGGGGGGGCAGGGATGCTTTGTCACCGTGCAGGGCCCAGACTGTTGGTTTAGAAGAGTCACTGTTTCCTGACATGAAAGTGACATCGCATTCGATGGGGACAAAGAAAGGAGGGATCCATGGGATCCGTTTGTACCGCGTTTGGACAGTCTTGTTGGACAAGCCAGAAAGCTGTATGTGCAGCGGCTCAGAGAGGAGCAGGCAGAGTGGGGGCGGGGGGGCTTCCTCCCAGGAGAGGCTCCCACAAACCCCAGCAACCGAAGAAAGTGTGGGGACAGTCAGCAAGCAGGACCCAGAGCAGGTTGGCAACTCGGAGCCAGCTGGCACATTTCGGTTCTTTAGCCCAAAGAGCAAAGCGACAGGAGGAGCCGGGCAGACGGCACAGAGGACCCCGCAGGCCAGTCGCGGAGCCTGGAGCACAGCTCGGACACACACGGGGCTCAGAACCAGCCCCGGGGCCCAGGACGCGGCCTGGCCGCACTGCCCACCCTCCCGAGGGGCGCGACCGCCCCCGAGAGGCCCCGGATCTCAGCCCAAGAACCAGCTCCCTGGAGGGGGACCCCCATGGGGACCCCTGCATCGGCAGATGGGTTTTCTGGAGGAAGCCCTATAAAGCCATGGCTGTGAGGGGGTCCTTGGGTGGTCACTGAGGGACACTTCCCAGGGCCTCCAGCAGCTACTGGTGTGAGGCCACAAGAGGCCAGTCACCAGGGAGTGGAAGTTACCCAGGAAAGAGACGGCCTCCAGCCAGAGCTCCAGACAAAAAAGGAGGGAGGTCTGTTTCTGTCTAAATCACCTGGAACAATTCCAAATGATTTTAGTTAATGAAAATCATGCTGGCGTTTGCCACTTATTGATGGAGCATTGACCGAGGCCGACAGGTGCTCTCGGCCTGTGTCTGTGGAGGGAGGGTAGGGGAGCGCCTGTGCTGGTGGTGGACGGGGGTGGGGGGTGGAGGAAAGGGGGAGGAGTGAATGGTTCTGAGAGACCAGGGTCTGGGAGACAGCGCGTGCTCTGGGCCGAGCTCCTCCTCCGGGCATGAGAGAGAGGGAAGTAAGTTCTGTGACCAGACTTCCCTCTTTCCCCTCAGGTAACCCGGGGAGGGGAGTGCGTGGAGGAGGAGGAAGTGGAAAGGCAGAGGGGAAAGGACTGCCTGAGGGGAGGAGCTGGAGTGCGGGAGGAGCGGAGGCCAGGGGAGGGAGGAGGCCAGGCCCGGAAATGGGAGGCAGGGAGGATCCCAAGATGGTCAAGGAGCTGGGCTTCCTGCAGGGACGTCCCCTCCAGGCTAGGGAAGAGAGAGCCGCAGGCCAGAGGCTGGGGGGCCCAGGCCAGGGGTCTAGCACCCCCCAAAACCCCCGAAGCTGACATGGCGCAGGGGCCTGGCGCCCCACCCCACCCCCCACCCCCGCCAGCTGCCTTCCACCAGAAGAGCTGTGAAGGCTCCTACTGCACACCAGCAGTGGCCACGCTCCAAGGCCAGCGCTCAGGACCAGCCTGAGATTCCCGCGGCTCTTTGCCAGGTCCCGTAGGCTGGCCGGAGGCGGGCACAGAGCGCAGGACAGGAGGTGCCCTCGAGGAAGTCCCCTGACGTCCTGGGCACTGCCAGCAGCAGTGGGAAAGCACCGTCTGCACCCAGCTCACGCCTGAAGGAGCTTCCTCTGGCCCCCACCACCCCCCAGGCCTCACCAGCACAGCCTCCGCCGGCCGGCCAGACAGGAGTTAACCCAGAGCGCACGGGGCCTTGGTCCTCCGGCCAGAGCGGACGTCTGCAGTGCTAGCAGGGAGCCAGGAGCCAGAGCTAACACAGCAACCAGCGCGCCACAGGGAGCCCACGGCTGTGGGCCGGGGTGGGGGTGGTCCCCACACCTTCCCTTTCCTTCTGGAAGCGGTGGGACAGGAGAGCAGGGTCTGGGGACACAGAGAAGACGGCGAGCAGACACTGGTGAGGGGGTGTTACAGAAGCGCCATGCAGCAGCCGCGAGGGGACCAGAGGGCTCAGGGCAGGGCACATTGCAAGAATAAACCTCAGGGCTGGGCACAGGGATGTGCGCCCAGGCTGGGCCCGTTCTGGAGTGAGACACACTGTCCCCCACCCCTCACCCCGGCGCTGCCAGCCAGGAGCAAGACACCTGCTCTCCCAGCCCGGGCTGGACCTCAGAGGGGCTCGACCCTCCCACTTTGATGTGGTCGCCAGTCAACCCAGAGGCCGGGGTAGGGGCGGCAGAGAAGGGGAGCCCAGCCTCGGAAGCTCAGTCTGTACCCACCGTGGGTGACCACGGGGTGGCCGGCAGAGGAACAGCAGAGCTGGTCACGTGGGTAGGTGAGTGAGGATGCCAGCCCCAAACCCCACTGGGGACACCAGGAATCCCCGAGACATTAGGAGGAAGCCAAATGTAAAAGGGTCCAAAGCAGCATTTCGCTGTCAACTCCCGGGCGCCCCAGGCAGGTCCCCTAGTGCGCTTCTTTGGGCTATTTTTCATCTGAAGTCTCTGCCCGGGGAGGGGCCTGGTTTACGCCTGAGCCAAGGCTCAGCATCTGCTCCTGTTCCGAGGGAGGACAGTAAGACACTGCGTCTGCTCATCAGAACAGACGTGCCAGCCGTCCACAGGGCTGTCCGTCCACGGGGGACGAGGGGACAGAGCCCAGTCTCAGATGCTGCCGCTTTCAGCCCAACCTCAAACGGGCTCCGTGCCGGGTGGTGGGGGGGCTGGACTCAGGGTATTATGCTGTGAGGACCTGGCCTCCAGGTTCCGGCCAGAGAGAGGCTCAGCTCTGCAGAGGCGGGGGCGGGGGGGGCCCACGATACTGGGGTCCCACCCCGCCCGGAACCGTGGACACAGGCACAGGGAGCCTGGGCTGCCGGAACCTGGGGGCACAGACAGACTCCGCCCCTGAGAATGGTTTATTCTCTGCAATGTCTCGCAAGTGTGTATTCTCATGCCGCTTGTTACAAAGCAGAACGACAGAACGGGCGCAGGGAAAGTGTGACGATACTCACACTGCCGCCTCCTGGCACGTGTTTGATATTATCCTTTGAGCCACACTTGGACTGGACGTTGCTAAGATCCAGCTTCTTATTAATTATCTGCACCTTTGACAGCCAGAAAAAAGGATGAATGACACACCACACCCAGACGCGCTTGCTCTGCCCTAACACACTCTGAAGCTGATTCCGACCTTCAGGGCCAGGAGACAAGGCTCCAGGCGGAGGGCGGGAGGTCTGAGTCACACCCTCCGGGGCAGTAGCGGCCCCAGGAAGGCGATTCCAGAACTGGGAGTGACTGCGGGCCGCGCTGGGTTTGCAAAGCACACCCCCCCCCCCCCCCCCCCCCCGGAAGGCAGCTCTTCACCGAAGGATTGCATCACGGAGGCCCCGCGGAGAGCACCTCTGAGTCCTGGAAACCGCAGCCCGGTGGCTACCAGGTTGGGCTGGAGCCAGGTGTGCTCAATTACGTTATTAAATGAATAAATAAAAAGGGCCATCTGTGTCCTCATTCACACACCCACCAGAACATTCGCGAGACCTTTCTGTGGCTGTGCTCCAGCCTGTGAGGCACTCGAATCACCTGCAGATGTATATAGAGACATATATTTTAAAATCCCAGACTCCACCCAGACCCAGAATTGGCATCGCGGGCTCCCCTTGGTGCTTCGGGCAGCACGGCGAGGTTTGGGAATCGCTGACATCACGGGGAGGAGACACAGACGATCCTATGGAAAAGATGGATCCAGACATCCCTCCAAGGGGCTGGAAGGCAGGGTAGGCGCCCCACCTTCCATCCATCGGCTCGCACTTCTCCACAAGGCCACCAGCTCCTTGAAGGGAACCGGGCAAACGCTCCTGCTGCCCTGAGGAGCCGTGGTCCACCTGATCCCTGGGTCTCTCCGAGGCTTCTCTCTCCAGGCACCAGGGATGCGACGGCAGGGACATCACTGTTTTAGTGGTGGATGAGTTTTGCCCGATTTGTCTAAAAACTGGAATACACAGACGACCGCGGCACGGGGAGAGAGAGCTGAAACCCTCCCCTTTGCGTCTGCCGGGCTGACATCTTGACCCCAGGTGCCTTGCCCCACGGGTGCTCCCTGCTTGTAAACTGTGCCTTCGATTCTATTAATCACTGGGAACTGGAATTCCTGATTAAGAGCCAGGCTCATTCTCTGAAATGTTGGCAATGGCACCAAGATCTCAGTGTGGCCTTTGTGAACGCCGCGGGGGGTGAGAGGCGCTGCTCCAGAGACGCAGGACTGTGAGGATGGCTGTGGCTGGGGGTCAGAGCCCCGGCCTGGCTCTTGCAGGGAGAAGGGTCCCAAACTCTGACCCAACAGCCAGAGCCAGCCATCAAGGGTGCCGCAGGTCCTCGCAAAATGGGGAAATGAGGACATGCCAGCAAATTTTTGTCCATCCTACTTTTTGGTGTGAAAATGGCCTTTCCTTTATTAAATTATTAGTTATTAAATTACATTGATAGTAGATCGTAATTAGCATTTTGAGATGTCCTTAGCCTGACAAAATAAAAACAGAGTAATCTTCTCTTGAACCTCATCCCATTTTCTTCCTTAATTTTACAGGTCTGGATCTAAAAACCTGGTAAAGCACAAACCTACCCCCGCCCCCACTTTTCTTTCTTTCTTTTTAAAATTTTAACGTTTACTTTTTTTTTGAGAGAGAGAGAGAGAGAGAGAGTAAGAGAGAGACCATAAGCAGGGAGGAGGAGAGAGAAGGACAGAATCTGAAGCAGGTTCCAGGCTCTGAGCTGCCAGCACAGAGCCCAACACGGGGTTCAAACCCACGAACTGTGAGATCATGGCCTGAGCTGAAGTCGGACATTCAACGCACTGAGTCACCCAGGTGCCCCATAAACCCCCTTTTTTCGTTTTCTTTTATGTTCCTTTTAAAATAAAAAGCTCTTGGGGCACCTAGGTGGCTCAGTGGGTTGAGCGTCTGACTCTTGATTTCGGCTCAGGTCATGATCCCAGGGTCACAGGATGGAGACCCGCATGGGATTCTTGGATTCTCTCTCTCTGTCATCTTCTCTCTCTGCCCCACACCCCACTCTCAAGCTCTCTCTCTCAAAATATAAAAATAAATAAAATAAAAAGCTATGTATTCTTCATTAGAAAAGCAACATAACATTATGATTTTGAAAAATAGTTAAAAAAAAGCAAAAGACGGCTTTCCTGCCACCCTAACCCAACCACAATTTCATTTTGTGACATTCCCTTGAAGTCACATATATATAATAAAACTACCATCATGTACATATAAATGGTGGTAATTATTTACATACAATTATATGTCTTGCTTTATCAAGTAACATCATCTCCTAAGCATCTGCCTTGTGTACAGTCATCAGAAGGATGGTTTTGGATGCCTGAGTGGCTCAGTCGGTTAAGCGTCCCACTAAGGCTCAGGTCATGATCTTGCAGTTCGTGGGTTCAAGCCCTGCATCAGGCTCTGTGCTGACAGCTCGGAGCCTGCAACCTGCTTCTGATACTGTCTTCCTCTCTCTCTGCCCCTTCCCCGCTTGCACGGTCTCTCTCAAAAATAAATAAAAGTTAAAAAAATAAAGAATATGTCCTCCTCCATTTTGTGATATCTGTGTAATCAGACATTTGTATCTATTCCATTTTATATAACGGGAACAGCCTCATCGTGAACATCTTCTGCAAGGACGTCTTTCCATATTATGGATTATTTTCATGGCAGAGTCAAAGTTATAAATAGTCTAAAAATTCTCCGTACAGCTCTCCAAGCGGCTTTCTGAAGGGGTTCGGTCACTTTACCCCCTGTGAGCACCACTGAGAAAGTCCGTTTCGTTGCACGGCCACCAGCATCAGGCATGTAAGGAATCTGTTTGCTTTGACCGACATAAATGGATTGCATTGTTGGCTTATTCTACAGGTTTTTTTCTTTTTTAAATTACAAAGTTGCTCCTTTGCCCCCTGTTGGCTTGTGGGTGACTTTTTCCTACAACCGTTTATGTCTTTATATACTCAAATTCTTCCTTTGTCATTTCTTCTCTGTCGTTTTGTTTTAAAGTTTATGTATTTTAAGGAGGAGACAGAGCACTGCAAGGGGGAGGGGCAGAGAAAGAGGGAGACAGAATCCCAAGCAGGCTCTGCCTGTCAGTACAGAGCCTGTTGCTCGAATGCGGGAACCGTGAGATCATGGCCTGAGATGATGGGTCGGATGTGCAACTGACTGAGCCACCCAGGTGCCCCTCTTCTCTGGTTTTTACATTTTTTTAACATTTTTTTTAAATTTTTATTTATTTCTAGGAGAGAGAGAGAGAGAGAGAGAGCGTGAGCAGGGGAGGGTCAGAGAGAGAGGGAGAAACAGACTCTGAAAAAGGCTCCAGGCTCAGAGCTGGCAGTCAGCACAGAGCCCGACGCAGGGCTCGAACCCACGAACCGCGAGATCATGACCTGAGCGAAAGTCGGACGCTTAACCGACTAAGCCACCCAGGCACCCCTACATTTAAAAACCACCCCTCATTTAGAGGTTGGGTAAATATCTGATTCTGTCTCACCCTTCTCACCTGCCATGCCCCTAACTTAGTGATGAGGAGGCCATTTGAGGCCCAGGGAGGCTTGGTAACCTCCTCAACTCAGTGGTTAGTATAACCCCAGGCTACCTACCTTCCTACGTGACAACAAAGTTTCGCCCAGCTGTCCTCAAGCCGGTGTTCTCATACACCAAGTACAAACACCGCTCTCTTGTGAGCATCACAGTTCTCTCCTGCCAGCAAGGGGCCGCAGGGACACTGCCTCAGCCCAGGCCTGTGCTGGGAACAGCACATGCAACAGGCTTTCTTACACTGCTTCTTAAGGAGCTGCTGCCGCCCTCTGAGTAATATCTTTTTTTTTTTTAATTTTTTTTTATGTTTTATTTATTTCTAGGAGAGAAAGAGAGACAGTGTGAGCAGGGGAGGGTGAGAGAGAGAGGGAGTCACAGACTGAAACAGGCTCCAGGCTCGGAGCTGGCAGTCAGCACAGAGCCCGACGCGGGGCTCGAACCCACGAACCGCGAGATCATGACCTAAGCGAAAGTGGGACGCTTAACTGACTAAGCCACCCAGGCGCCTCCCTCTGCGTAATATCTTTGAATCCTTTCAGGTCATCCTCAGGTTTTAAGGAGTCGGACATGAACTCCTTCTGTGGGGATCATTTTTCACTCATCACTTTCCATTGGATAAGTCCCAGAAGCAGATTTTGCCTTTCACAAAGGAATTGGAGCCGCTTAGTATTAGAAAACACTCACATGCAAACGCACAAAATATGAAAACAACAAAATTAAAAGGATATTGGTAAAAGAAGCAGAGGTCATCAGGACTGACAATTCGACTGATCATTACATTTAACTCCGAGCTTCCTGGAAGCCAAAGCAAAAAGGGAAACACGATGGGCTACCTAACTCTCCTTATCTGACAATAAAAACTGACCAGTTTTTCAAGGAAGACAACCTTGTTTTCCGAATTAGTCCATGTAAAGAAATTCATCAAATGGATCAAGTGACATTAAGCAATAACAAGATCTGCAGTACACATAGAAATTTTTTTAATGTGGCTTTTTCTTGTTCCAATCCCCCACACACCCAAAAGGCAACAAGTTGTTTGTGGGATTTGGCAATAGACAAAGCAGACCTGAATTACTGTTATTCTTCAAATTAAGTCAACACCCTTTACAGAATGTTAGATTTCCAGAAGGGGGATAAAAGGGTTGGCATTATGAAACTGAAATCCTGAAACTTAATTTCTCATCTAGAGCAACATGTATGATATTGAACCTCAGCTCTGGGCAGACACTGAAAATCCTCATCAAAGGAAAGAGCAATTTTTTAGAGGCTCCAAAGTTTGGTCTCAGGGACTCACAGTCAAGGGAGAATTTCCTGTGGTCAGGGTTTGATCTTAGAGGAGAGGCTGTAACTGAAGACAGTCCCACTTGGGCTCCATCCACTTCCTAGAGGACCTGAAGCTGTCCCAAACCCTCGCTGGGCCTTGATTTGATTCTGTTTGGGCTCAGCTCTCAAGATGCCCCAGATGGCCCAGTCCTACCCCAGGAGCTCTCCAGGCTGGCCCAGTGTCCACCGGC